TGCTTGGGAGGCTGCTGAGTCACGCTTTTGAGGGTGAGGCTGACTCCACTGACCGCAAGCCCCTCAAGGCCTGTATTGTGTCCAGTCATCCCCACGCATGGCGTCTTTAGCTCTGCTGAGGCTGCTGCATGGGCCTTGACGTTCCAGAGCCCAGGAGGGAGCTGGTGATCCCTGAAGGTCTCTGGTGCCCAGCGGAGACCTGGACCTGGGTTTCGGGCTCTGAGGGGACGGGGGACGGGGGATTGAGTTGGGTGACTCACGGCCCTCACCGCTTCCTGCTGTTAGAGCCACAGGCCTGAGGCTTTCTGGCCCTGAGGGAAGCCATGAGCACCCCGCTTCCTCACCAGGGCTGAGTTAGAGTTCTGAGGCCCCTTCTCTACCCACCGGGGGTCCAGGATCCTGCCCTGGGCTCCAGGGGCACGGGAAGGGGTGAGGGGTGACCCAAAGAGGTGAGTCAATGTAAGAAGCTGAGAGGACCCAACAGGCGGTGAGGACTCTGATTTCTAGAATAGTGCTTGTATATAAAAGTGTCCAGGAGATGTTTTGTCAAGGAGGGAATGAATGAAAGCCTTGTACCCAGACTTGGCTTCCTTCGACTTCATGGGGCCATCACAGGTATGTCATCGCTCTTCTCTGAGCCTCGGTTTACCCAGCTGGAAAACCACGGGCCCTTCCAGCTGGGAGTCGGGGATTCTGAAGAGCACTGTGCCGTGGTGCTCGGGGCGCTGGCGGGGAGAGGCCCGCTGATCCCGCCCCGCTCCATGGCTGTCTCAGGCAAGCTCAGGCTCACACTGCGTGTGTATGTGTTGGGGACAGTGTCCCCCAGAGTGGAAGAGCTGGCGTCAGCAATCATGGGAGCAGCCCAGGCCCCCTGTCATAGGTTCCATGCCTGATGGTGGCAAGGCTTGCTGGGCCCAGGTGACGTATCCCATCCGTGTCAAATGACATCCCCAACCAGAAATATTTCCTCTGTCACCTTCCTGGGGCACCAATCCATAAGCAGTCGATGCTGGGGTTTGAAACTAACTGCCCACGGGTCGGGTCTATGTACAAATGAGTTCTGCTTGACACATAGTGCTCTGTATTTAAGAAACACTGAATTTTAATACTTGGCCAAAGCAGGCTCTATTCCCTTTGCCACAGTTGCCGCTCCTCCCTATTGTCTTGCACTTGGCAGCCTCACACATTTATGTTGTCAGCCTGACCCCTGAACGCACCTGAGTTTGAACACTTGGGTCTAGCTCAACACCCCCATTTTGTGAATAGGAAGACTGAGGAGGGTGGGTACTCCTAGATTAATGGAATTCTAGGTTATCTGAGGTTAGAAGAGCCCTTGAGATCGCCAAGCGCTCATTTTCTGATCTCTGCTCTGTTATCATTTCTCCAGATAAGCCTAACTGGATCAGCCCACTCAGAACGGCACCCCATGCAGCCCACCTCTTCACCCTGCTTCATTGTGCCTCATCCCTCCTGACACCGTAGTCTCTATCCTGCGGTTTATTCCATTTCTCTTGCTACTCTGCATGCCCCCTGAGGGCAGGAACTCAGTTTGTCTAATTCACTGTTGCATCTCCAAGGCCGAGAATAACATCGGAAGGTGCTCAAAAAAATAAAAATTCTTGAAGAATGGGAAAAATGAGGCGTTAGACATGGTAGCACCGGCATCAGACACCCTCCCCACTGCGGTTTCCCTAGGTTGTTCCAGGGACATCGTGGAGTCCTGCGGGAGTGCCATGGTCACCCAGCAGTTGGTGGGCTGCCCCCTGCACAGGGCCAGCCCCCGACAATGGGGCTGCATTTGAGGCTATCCCTGGCAGGCCCTCCCAGCAGTATGTTCTCTGCAGAGGGGAGGGGTAGCGATTACGTCCTTCTGCTCCCCTGCCCCCGCTCCTCCCAGATCTGACCTATTAAGCCTGGAATCCTAAGTTCAAAATGACCACAGCATGGGAGTGCAGGAGGTGACTTTTCGGGGCTCCAAGCAGGGCAGGGACCGGGGAAGGTCATGGTGTCTTAAGAGAAATGTTCTCAGAGCTGGTGGAGAGGGAGGGAGGCAAGGAGGAAGTAGCAGAGGGCGGGTGGACACTCAAAGGGAGATTATTTTTTTCCATTAGCAAAAATATTTGCTCACCAAAGCTGTTCAAACAAAAGTATGAGGAAGAAAGTAAGAGAACCTTCTTTTCTACCCCCAGAGATCAAGCCAAAAATTACAAACCCATCTAGAGTCACATGGCCTGTGCTCAAATCCTGATTCGACCATGTTCCAGTTTCGGATCTTGAAAGGGTCCCTTAACATCCCTGTGCCTTGATGCTTTCACGTGTAACATGGGGGTGCCCTGATGTTCCTCTCAGCCTCTCTGCCTACTCTCTGCTATTCCCGCCCCCTTCCCGCAGTTCTCAGAGCATTTCTTTTAAGACACCATGATGTGCTCTGGTCCCTGCCCTACCCACACTTTGCCAAAGGCCCCTGCACACCCGTGCTGTGGTCCGTTTGAACTTGGGATTCCAGGCTTAATTGGCACCTGCTACCTAGTGTTGTCGCGAGAGTTAGGTTAGTTAGTATATGGAAGGGACTTAGAACACTGACTGGCGTGTGGTGAGGGCTGTATATGTGTTTGCTAGCATTTTGTCATTGTCGTCATCGTCATTGTTGCCATTATCATCACTACTACCATCATCTTTGCAGGTAATTCTTTAGGCACTAGCCTACTTTCCCATCTGTCCATCCGCCCATCCACACACCCACTCACCTATCCACCCATCCACCCATCCACTCATCCACCCATCCACCCATCCACCCATCCACCCATCCACTCCATCCGCCCACCCATCCACCCATCCACTCCATCCGCCCACCCATCCACTCATCCACTCCATCTGCCCACACATCCACCAACCATCCACTCATCCACCCATCCACACATCCATCTGTCCTTTTCTAATGAAAATACGCCCATGTGCTCTCAGGGAACCTGCATTTTATACTCCACTTTATGTTACGTTTGAACAAAATGGCTCTGGTCCTGGTTAATGGGGGTGGGGATGGGTGGAAACCTCACATTGTTGAAGTGCTGTTTTGCTGGGTTCTGTATCCATGGGCAAAACAGACTTTGTCTAGGTGCCTTTGGGTGTAATGAAACTTGTAGATCAAGAACATTTGTAATCAGATATGTTGGTGGTAAGAAAGATCATTCCAGGAAGCTCTTCAAAAATCAAAAGGAACCAAATAAAAGTTTATGCCATTTTTATATTTCTCATCTCCCTCATCAGGTTGGGGGGTTCTGGAGGCAGAGCCTGTGTCCCCCTCTTGTCCCATCAGACTGGTGTTTCCCCAGACAGGGGGTGTTCTTCCTTTCTCCATTTCTCTCTCTTTGCCACCTCCCGCCCCAGATCTGTGAGCCAGGGGAGCTCGGTTGTGCATCCTTTATTCCGTTCTGTGCAATGGATGCACAGAATGAGGGGACCCCCTGGCTGCAGAGGGGTGTCCTGTGATTCCTGACCGAACCTTCCCCGCCATCGCCCACCATGTCCCACATGGAGAGAGCTCGCCACCTGTACCTCATCACCTCCACTCACAGGTCCAAGAGACACTTCATGTCTAACGAGTCCCACATGGAACAGCCACCCCCCTGCCCAGCTTGCCCACTCCCAGCTTTCCCCATCTCTCTGATGACAACACGGCCCCTATCGCTGCTGGGGCCCCGAACACTCCAGCCATCCTTGCCTCCTCTCTTGCTCTCACGCCCACATCCCGTCCATCAGCAAACGTTCTCAGTTCCATCATCAAGATTCATTCAGAATCCCACCCCTTCTTACCACCCTCTCTGTCCCCCCCAGGACCAAGCGACTCTCAGTCTCACTCGGATGATGGGGAGGAGTGTCACCGCACTGTCTGCTCTTTCCTCATGTGACCCTTTGTCTGTGTCCCCAGAATACCAATGCCGTCAGAGCAGCGATCACGGTCCCTTTGTTCTTCCGCATCCTAAGGGAGTGCCTAACATAGAGCAGGCACTCAGTGGATGTCTGTCAAATGAATGAATGAAATTCCATAAACACCCCGAGAACAGGCGGGAGCCAGCACTTGCCAGAGCTAAAAAGGGGATTTTCAGAAACGAATCACCCCTCCCCAGCCCATTGTTCTGAGCTGCATGTCAAGTGCCCTCCCCACTGGCTGGCCAAGGATGGGCACCAGGGTGGCTCCTGCCACCTTTGGAGTTGAAGTACAAGGACATAACCTCACCTTTTGCGGGGTGGTATTGTGCCGTGAGTCAGGTAGACCCTTACTGTCGCTGTGACCTGTAGCCATGGTTCTCTTCCTGTAAAATGGAGATGCTAGTGATAACCACGAGCATTTCTTTTAGTGAATGCTAGGTGCCAGGCACGGCGCTGCACCTCTCACACTTAGCTCATGTAATCCCCACATCAACCGGAAGGAACAAGGACTGTTGTTATGACTTTAATCTTACACGGGGAATGGAGCTGCAGAAACATGAACGGCTCCAGGTCATAGGCAGAGCCGACTGGAGCCCAGGCGGTCAGACTGCGCTGGGCTTTACGTGCTGCCTGATCGCCTAGCATATGAGATAATATCTGTAAACTCCTTAGTCCACAGCTGGTACATAGTCAACCTTCAGAGGATGCTGACATTGTTAACAGCGTGGGGTCAGGCGCCAAGTCTGAGGATAGAGGCAGGGCCAGGGAAGGGGGACGGGGGCTGATGGGGAGCTCTCCACCAGGGGCACCAGCTGAAACCTTCTTCTCCATCCCCCAGAGAAACCTTGGCTCCTCCTTCCCTGACCTCCCGGATCGACAGGCCTGAGTGAGAAGGGCTGGGCGTGGAGCCAGGAGGTGGGGACTTAGCTCGGGCAGGCTAATCAGGTCTCAGTGAAATTAAAAGGGAGGAGGAAAGCACCGACCCATCAGAACTCACCCTCCTTCCTGGCCAGGAGGTGCCCAGGAGAGGAGCTGGGGAGACAGGGTGCAAGGAGGTCAGCAGCCGGGGGCATAGGATGGCCCCACAGAACGCTGTGCAGCTGTCCCTGAAGAAGCCCACCTATGCAGTGTGTGTGGTGGGCATCAAGACGTATGTGGATGTTCGCAGGTGAGACCTGAGAGGCGCCCAGCTGGCTGCAGAGGGCTGGGCTAGAAGGAAGGACTCCGAAGCAATGGGGTGCGTGCCTGGTACCTGTTCTGACAGCAGAGCAGGTGGAATTGGCTGGAGAGCCCAGGGGAGGGACTAGGCGATCGGGTCCAGCGTGGGACACTGGCTCCTGAGCACCAAGGTCAGGACCCTGGCCTCGAGCCCTGGATAAGTGTTCTGGCTCTGAGCCCCGGGACCAGGCTTTGAGGTCTGGGCTCTGCATTCTGGTGTCCGAGGGGCACTTGTGTGGGGCAGCAGAATGAACTGTTGCCCAAGTCGGGGAGCAGGACTGGGCGTCCCTCAATTTCTTGCCAAGAATCCGTCTCTCTGAAGTGGAGGGGTGGGTTGTGTGGCAACTTCATCCTCGGAGGCTAATCAGGGTGATAGGCATCAGGAGGGAGTGGTTTGGGGATGATTCAATGAGTTGAAAAATGAAAAGAACTTGCAACAAGACCTGGGGCTTGTCTTCACCATGACGACGATCATGGTGGCCGCGATGACATCCGAGGGGCTGCAGAAGCATCAGCTTCTCCTTTTGATGCAAACCCTCTCTGTCCTGACTCTGCCCAGGTCAGGGCAGGCTGAGGGAACCGGCCCAGCCTGTTTCCCTTACCTGATCACTGATGGAGTTAGACCTGGGGGTCTCTGGGGGCTTCTCCAGCTCCGACAGAGTAGCTGTGGATTCCATCTTGCTGGATCCGGTGGGGCTGGAGCCCCTGCAGAGGCGGCTCAGGAGGGGACGCCCCTCCCAGAGGGGGCCGGGGTCTGAGCTCCTGTGCCCCATGGGTCTCAGTACCTGTGTTTTCCCCATCGGGACAATGAGCACGGGGCCTGGCTTCCCACTGGGTCTCAGGGGAGCCTCGGCCCCAGAAGCCCTCCCGGCGTCCCATCTCCAGCCGTGGCCTGGAGCCCCAGTGACAGGGCCGGGAGGGAGAGCCGGGAGCGGCGCAGGTCAGACTTCGGCTCTAAGTCATACTGGGGGCCCTGCCGTGGGCCTGGTTCTCTCAGAACTAAGTGGCCAGCAGAGATCCCATTCCCTCCTGCCTCTTTTTTAGAATAATTTTTTCAATTACAGTTGACCTGAATATTATATTCACTTCAGGTGTACAACAGGGTGATTAGACATTTATATAACTTACCAAGTGATCACCCCGATGCATCTAGCACCTGACACCATACGTAGTTGTTCCGATATTATTGGCTAAATTCCCTGTGCTGTATCTTACGTCCCTGCCTCCTGCCCTTTTAACACAGGGTTGCCAGACCCACAAGCGAAAACGCAGGGTACTCGGTTAGGTTTGCTTTTCAGATAAACAGCAATTTTATTTTATTTTTTTATACAGGAGTCCTCCCTTATCCGCTGTTTCACTTTCTATGGTTTCAGTATCTGTGGTCAACCGCGGTCTGAAAATATTAAATGGGAAGTTCCAGAAATAAGCAATTCATAAGTTTTAAATCGGGCACCATTGTGCGTAGCGTGAGGCTATCTCACGCTGTTGCCTTCCCTCTGCCTGGGACGTGAACCAGCCCTTTGTCCCGCATATCCACCGCGCTTCACCTCATCACGTAGGCTCTGTACCCTCTCACATCATCACAAGAAATAGAAGGGTGAGCCCCGTACACGAAGATATTTTGAGAGAGAGAGAGGCCACAGTCACATAACTTTTATTACAGTATCTTGTTATCAATTATAACAAGATTGTTATTAATATCTTGCTGTGCAAGTCACATAACTTTTATGACCTTGTTGTAATTGTTTTACTACCTTGTTATAATTTAGCACATTGTTATCGTTGTTCCATTTTATTATTAGTTATTGTTGTTAATCTCTTTCTGTGCTTAATTTATAAACTTTATCATAGGTATGTATGTATGGGAAAAAACATGGTGTGTATGTATGTGTGTATATATGTGTACACACACACACACACACATATCTATGGTTGTAGGCATCCACTGGACATCTTGGAACATATCCCCTGTAGATAAAGGATGACTAATATGTTGCATGGAACATACTTGTATTTTTACAAATCTGCTGTTTAGCTGAAATTCAAACTTAGCTAGGTATCCTGTACTTTACCCGGCAACCCTGCTTCAACACCAGGAGAAGGGAAGAGGTCCCCAGTGGACCCACCTTTGCCTGATTGCAGACCTCTGTTCTCGTCCTGGGGTGGCTGTGCCTCTGGAAGGCAACTACTGAACCGCAGGCCCTGCGTGGTGCTCCTGGCTAGGGCCGGAAGCGTTTGACTGGGAGCCAGGAGGTCTCTGATGGGGGACTCCGGGGGCCTTTCCCTCTGCTGCTGACTTGCTCTCCGGCCTGGGCCATGTCACTGGCCCTCTCTCAGCCCTGACAGCATGAGCTGCGCCCCCTCTTCAGTTCCGCGTAGAGATGAAGGGCCCAGACCCTGGAGCTGGAACAACCTGGGTTCTCATCCTAGCTCCCTCTGTTTGTGGTAGTGTGACCCTGGGCAAGTGGCTGCACTTTTATGAGCCTCGGTTTCCTCGTCTGAGAAATGGAGAAACAATAGTACACGCCTTAATGGGTCAGGAGGAGGGCGTATGATAAATGTGTGTAGGTCCCTTTGCAAGGTGGGGGGTGCCCTGGGAGTGGGAGGTGCTCACAGCAACGGAAGCCCCGTGGGGTCCCTTTCTTCCAGTACCTGTTCTTCCCATCATGCCTCAGAGGGTGGGAGGAGCAGAGGACAGATCAGTGTGTGCATGATGGGCGCATAGGACGATGCTGACTGTAAATCTTTGGGGTCACCAAGCACCTTAGCATCCTCATGAGCAGGCACCTGCCCAGCTGAAGGGCCCAAGGAAGTTGCCTGTGTTGTTTGTAGCTGCAGTGCCTGCTTGAATCTGGGAGTGGCTGCCGCTTGGGGTCCTGAGCGAGCACTTTTAAAGACCTCCACTCAAGGGTCCTTCCAGGACCTTCTCCTGTGGTGTTGGTAGGGTCATTGCCACTGAGTTTTGAAACTAGAAAAGAGTTTATTTATTCCGCAGCAGACTGGTTTAGAAGCAGACATCAAGAGCTTCCTGCCGGTGGGGTCTGTTGTAGGTGCAGAAAGGAGAGCGTGGAATTGTCAGGAAAGGCGGAAGACATGGGGATGGTGTTGCCAACTAGAAGTTTTAAGAGGATCCCGAAGCTCACTCCAAGGTCTTGGCTGGCTAGGAGAAAGAAGCTACACTTGATAATGAACTTGGGGCTCCCCTGCTGCCATTGCTAGGTGGCTTGCCAGCTGAGGCCAAGCAAGGGGTCCCTATCTAGTCTTGCTGGTAGAATGGGGGGTGGCCCCTGGAAGAGGAAGTGTGCCAGTCACCCAAGCTGTCCGGAGCCTGAACCCTCTGGGGGAGCTTGTGTAGGTGGGTGTGTGGGATAACATCGAGGGAAGTGGTTAATTCCCCCAGGTACTGAGTGGGTTGGAGAGCTGGAGAAATATTTGTGTGTGGGGTATTGTGTGCCTCAGGGTGTCTCAGCCCAAGAAGCCCTTAGAAATCCCCTGGATTAGCATGTGCTGCAGATCCTACAGCCCCGCGCCCCACTGCAGCGGGCCAGCTCACCACCCTGACCCCCTCCCCCCAGCGGGCCAGCTCACTACTCGGACCCCTCGGGTCTGGCCAGATTGTCCTTGCTGTTCCTGTCCTGGCTTGGAGGTGGTCTCCAAAGGACTCACGTCCAAAAAAGAGGGGCTGGGCGGCATGGGGAATCCATTAGTGGTCCAGTCTGGCCCTCCTTGTCTGCCCGGAGGCCAGGATCAAGGCCCCAGGCTGGAAGCCATAATGAACATTTATTCTGAGGGATGGAGGAGAAGGCTGGCTGGGGCAGGGGATGGGGACATTCTCCTGGGGTTTTCCAACCTCCCTCAGCCCTGCAAAAGCATCAAAGCAAAAGAGACCCTTTGGATCAGAGATTGCTAGAATTCGGGGGACACAGGGACGGGGGGTAGGTGTCTGTAGGACCTCTCAGGGAGCCAGAGAGCGGACCCAGGCCACTTCATTTTTTGGGGGCTCTCTGTACAGAGTTATAAAACTTGCGGTAAATATGTTCTTAATATGTTTACAGGAGTAAATGAATGCTTTTAACTTGCACAGAAGTACAATGAGGCATAATTGTGCTTGTCACATGGTAATTATTGCATAAGATTGAAGCCGCCACTAATCACGGTGACTGACAGGTTCCGACAGCAGGGCTGGGTCACAGGTCACAGGTTTAATCTTCTCTCCTTGCTCCGTCCTGTTGCTGTGTCACGTTTCTTTGCTGCAAGCTATGTTAAAGCTTACATTTGAGGGTTCTTGAAGCATCGGGGGGCCGGGGTTTCCCATAAGTCTCACGGGGCCCTGAGAGGCCTGAGGGCTGTGGCTTCTGGAGGTGGACAGCTGTGTGTGCTCTTGAAACGTAAAATATTGTTCACCAGGGAGGGCCTTGGAGGCCAGCCACCCCTGGGTGGGATGTTCCCGTTGCCACCTGCTCTTTTCAGACCAGCTGGAAAGTCTCTTCTATCGGCCACTCTCCCCCTCCCGCCTCTGCCCCTTTGCTCCTCCCCGTGCCCTCTGCCCTTCGCGTCATTTCCAGTCTTGGCATCAGCTGGATGCCTCACCTTCTCCGTTTCCCTTCCCAGCTCCCATCGCTGCCCGCGTCCAGCTTTCTCTCCTCCTCCCCGGACGCCGCGCTTCTGTCCACTGGGGGCTGGGGCCCCAGGGCTGGGGGGCCTGAGAGGAGTCCCCTCGCCTGAGCTGGTGGAGCCTGAGAGAAGATTATTCCAGATGTAAGAAATGGGGGTGTCGGTCCCTCATGATGGAGATTCCTCCTTGACCCCCGAATGCTTTCCCTGTGCTGCGTTGTCCTTTGCTCTGCTCAGAGAAGCTTTCAGACCTCTCTGAAGCTTCTGGGAGATGTGCTATCCTTATACTTTCACAGCTGGGTGGGCACCTACCTTGCCTAAGCGAGTGGGCATGGCGGAAAATTACCTGCTGATTTACAATTCCCCAGCCCCCCGCTCTGCACCTCCTTTTTGAGAATCTTTGAGAATTGACTCCATTCTCCTTGTACCTCTTTTCTAGCCTGGTGCCCCGGCGCTGCTCTGGGCATGCATGGGTGCAGGGACGCAGCAGGGTAGGATGAGGCAGGGAGGAAGCGGCTTTGCTGGCACAGGTGGGCTGGGAAGGGCCCCGAGGGAGGCCTGAACTTGCGCTATGGGAGCAGAGGAGAGGACGTGGGGCTCTGGCTCGAGTGGGCTGAGTTGCAGGGGGGAAGAGTAATAGGAACGGCGATGATGGCACCTAACAGTTAGTAAGCACCTACGGTGTGCTGAACACTTTAAATACATCAATTCATGGAATTCCCCCGCAGCCCTAGGAAGTGGCTCTTTGGATGATATCCATGTGATAGAGGAGGGAAATCCAGGCTCAGAGCAGTTGGGTGGCAGGATCTGAGGCCACACCCCACACAGAGTCCACACCATGCTCTACCCAGAAGGTGGCATTTGAAGTGGGTCTTCAAGAATGCAATAGATGGCCCGTGCCCCACCCCACCCTCACCCGTACCCCTGCTGGGATGGGGGCAGGGCACTGGGGGCAGAAGGCAGGTAAGGGCACAGGCTCATCAGCATAACCCTGGAAATGATGGTAAAGATACTGGCGATCATGCCGCTGGGGCGTCTCCGTGTGGTTACCATTGTAGTTCCTTTCATTTAAGGGGCTATTCAAATCCATTACTTTGCCTGTGAGTCTGGGGACACGCTGGGGCTGCACTGGGGGGTTTGGTTCAGTCTGGGGGCTGCACCAAAGCGAAGCAGCGGGGCACGCATGGATTAGGAAGCTCCCGCAGGGCAGGCTGGAGAGCTGGCGAGGCAGCCCCACTGGGGGTACCCTGGGGCTCGTCCAAACCCCTGTGCCTTCCTTTTTCCACCCCTAAGAGCAGCCCTAAATCCACAGCCCCACCCACAGCTCTGGAGCCAGAGAGACGAGGAAAAGCAGCATAATCCCTGAGCCCGCCGGCCAAACAGCCTGCCGGGCGTGGGCACCAGTGGGAAACCCAGCCCCCTCCTCGTAGCCCCCGAAGCTCCTGCTGGGGCGGCCTCAGCACTCCTGCCCCGTTTTACTCTGAGAGGCAGTGACCTGGATGGAGGTGACAGGGGCCTGGAAGGCGGCGGGGCCAGGACTCAGACAGGCCTCTCTCAGAGGGCGGGCCTCCCTCAGAGGGCGGGCGACCCCTGGGCCTCAGCTGCACCTGCCAGGTGCCTCCTGAAGGAGGCCACCTTTCCCCAAGGCTCGCCGGGACCTTGCAGGGACTCAGGTGGCCCCTGCAGGGGCGAAAGAAGCCTAGGCCAGGATCCCAGCAGCCCAGACAGGGGTGAGCTGCTGCGCGAGGCGAGGCAGGTAGGAGGGCAGGCCAGGTGCGGAGGCCCCGAGGCCCCCGGAGGAGTTGTATTGGTTCTTTTCCCCTCTCCTTTCATCCCCATCATCATCGTTGTTGTTGCTGTTGTTGTTACTATGACTATTTTCTACCAAGACTCCAAATAGGGGGTGTGGCCAGGGCTGTGACTTGGAAATGTCAACTTCTGCCCAAAGCTAGGGATTGGGCCCCCCCAAACTCCCCACCCCTCAAAAGGTCTGGGCCTGGCGATGGCATCCCTGGGTGGGTGGGACAGGGCAGGGCAGGGGTCTCCCCCAAGCTGGACACCCCTCTGCCGCCAGTCGGTTGCCCCGGTTTGTGCCTACTTGCTCTTGGGATGTACAGGCAAGGGCTCTGGGGCCAGGCCGGCTGGAGTCCGCTCCCAGCTCCGCCGCCTCCCAGCCGGGCTGTCCTGGGAGAGCCAGTCCGCGTTTCCGGGCTGCCCTGGCCTCACGCGTAAAACAAGGGTTTGTGGTGTCTTGTCTACACCGGACACTGAGCTGGACACAGGGGATGGAAAATGCATCCAGTAAACATATTGGGTGACGAGACCATGGGTTAAAATGAAGCTGGGTCATGGGGTTAGGGAGCGTGGGGTTCCCCGGCGTCATTTGCGTCGCACTCTTACTAGGCACCAGGGACGCCATCTTTGAGAAGGAAATGAGGAGCGGCCGTCAGGGGTATTTGTGAGCGAGGAAGAGAACCACAAACGCAGAGGCCTAAGGCGGAGCAGGGGGCTGGATGTGTGGGAATAAAGGGGAAAGGGGACCGTGGGGTCCGGAAGCCAGCTTGGGGCTGACGACGGAGCCTCTGTGGAAAGGCCATGATCAGGAGGGACATTCTGTGCCTCCTGTTTAAGGTGCACTGTGAGCAGCAGGAGGAGTGGGTGGAAACAGCCTATTGTAAAATTCTGCATGGGAAGCCTTGGAGTGCAGGTGGGGTTCCCGGAGGTTTGCCGTCCCTGCTCTCTGGAGCCTCGGGGTTGCTATGAAGCTGAAGGGTTGAGCATCGTGGTTCGGCCCCACTCCCAACTCCTTTTTGACTGTCTCCTGTCTCGGGCTTCACAGGAGGGCTGCTGAAAGGGCTCTGCTACTTACACAAAGCTCAGCGCCATTGTTCTGCTCCAGCCTCCACGTGTTACGATGGGGAGACTGAGACCCGGGGGTAACGTGCCCACCTGAGGGTTCGTGGATCGCTGGATGGAGCCTAGGCTGCCCTGTGCCCAGCCAGGCTGCACTGCCCCCGGGGGCACGCCCCCACCGTTCTCCAGCCCAGCTGCTGGGGATGCTCTTTGGGTGGCCTGGCTGCCCAGCCACGACCCTGCCATGGTCAGCCTCCTAAACCCTGGATCCTTCCCCCTCTCCTTTCTCTGTCAGCGATGTACCCAAGGGCGCCAAGGCCTTCGGGGTCTCTGGGAGCTCCGGGGTAGGGATCATTATGGTCTACGACCCAGCACGGGTGACAGAGCCTGCAGGCAAGTCCCACTGGCCCCTGGACGCCGACGTGGATGTGACCATAACTGTGGACACAGCCAGTAAGGACTTAAATGATCTCAAGGTAAGAGGCCCTTACCCACGGAAAGGCGCTGCATCTCCCCCTCCCCCCACACCCAAGGTAAGAGCCTCCCAAAGCACACCTCATTCACAAGTCTCCCCGCTCCGCCAAACCCCAGAAGGCTTTTGACACCTGCGTCCACACGCCATATCCTGATACAACTCCACAGACACCCCAAACACACAAACCTACCCCAACACCCAAAGTGACATATATACACACACACGAATGCATTCTTCCATAAAAACACAGCCTGCCTCCTCTCCCCTCAGGTTCACAAAAGCCCCACATTAATGCTGTGTTCAGCCTGCACAAAGACCTCCAAGCAAGCTCTCCCTCTCACGTAGGCAGGATGCACAGGCACGCACAGATGCAGGTGCATGCTTGAGTGTGGGTGTCTCCTACCCCTGGAGCTCCACAAAGCCTTCTCTTGCCCAGATGACACCTCTCACTTGCCCCCAGCCACCCACCACACACACAGTGACCAATGATGGGGCAGGGACAAAGCAGGGACCATACAGCCTTTGGGAGCAGAGGCCCCGGAGCCCACCATGGGTTCAATTCTTACCTCCTCTGTTTATTAGCTATGTGCCTGTAGGCGGAGCCCTGAGTGGCCTCATTACAAATGGGCCCTGCTTACTGGGGTCATTCTGGGGGATAGTGGAGGTGGCCTGGGTAGAGCACTTGGCATGGGTTCTGGACCATGGGAAAAGCTCATGCCCACCGGCTGTTATTATGGGGTGGAGGCCATCATTCCCATTTTGCAAGTGAAGAAACAGAGGCCTCAAGTAACTTGGCCTAAGTCAATGGAGACAGCCGTTCCTTCTCTCATTCTTTCTCTCTGACATCCCCATGAATTCCGGAGGCTCCAGCTGCTCCCCCAGGATCTGCCCCCACCCTTCCCAGCTCTCCTCACTCCTCAGTGCAGCCTGGGAAGCCAGGGAGGTACCCACAGACTCTCTAGCTGGAGAGGGCTGCTTGGAGACCATGCCTGGGGGCCAAGCCCGGGGCCTGAGACATGGGCCTGCAGCAGCAGGGAGGACCTGGGGACCCCCATGCCTGCCTGGCGTCTAAGCAGGGCTGTTGGGAGGTGTGGGTCACCCCCATGCCCCTGGCCACTGCCATCTCCGAAGGGGCCGCCGTGCTGGCTTCAAGCTGACCGTGTCCCCGCAGGTGAAGGTCTCCTACTTCAGGCAGGACGAGGACAGAGCCCTGGGCCACAGCGTGCTCTACCTCACGGGCGTCGGTACGTACCACCTCCTGGCTCTCCGCATGGCCCGCTCTCTTCCGTGTTGGCTGTTGAAGGTTTAGGGGAGCCCTGAGTGCAAGCCCACGGCCAGCTTCCTCTACCACTGAGGAGTGTGGCTTCGTAGAACCTCAGAGACGGGGACCCAGACATACTCAGGGTTGCAGGAATCTAGAAACTGCACTACCCGCGTGCCAACAGCTAGACCCACAATGGGCCGCCTTCATCTGGAGTCCCGCCTGCACGCCCACTGGAACCCCAAGATCCAGCACTAAAGCTTGGACAGCCACGTGCCCCTTCAGCCTGAGCGCTGGGCAGCCACCTCTGAGAAATACGAAGCTGTCACTCAGAGCCCCAGGCCTAGTCCCCAACCACCAAAGTCAGGGCCACTAAGAGCTAGCAATTCAGCAAGTGTAGGAGAGCAGGAAATTCAGGATCCAAAGACATGGGTCCCTTCAACACCCAGAACCCCACGGGGCTTCCACAAGGGCCTCCCAGAACAGGGCTTCCTAGTTCTCATGGGCTCGGGGAGGGGGCAGAGCTTCCCTCTGCCAGAGATGACAGGTGTGAAGGCGAGACTGGGTGAGCCCCTGGCAACTCCTTCCCCTCCCTTTCTAGACGTCTCCCTCGATGTTGACACAGGCCGCAAGGGCAAGGTAAAGAGGAGTCGAGGCGACAAGGTGAGACTTTCCTGGCTACCCCAAGGCAGCAGGGCTGACAGGCACACCTGGGGATAGTCCTGGGCTGGGGGGCTCCTTCCGGAAGGTGATGGATTCCTAGGGTCTGTGGTTACCAACGGTGTAGGGAACCCATCTGAGGACTGTCAAGCTGGCACAGCAGGAGTTAACTCACGCTGGGTGATGGACGTGCTGCGTGGCTTCTGGAAAACAACTCGCCCTCTCTGGGTCTCTCTCATGCCACCTTAGAATTGGACCTGGTTCTTCTGCTTGGTGCGCTTTCTATTTCCCAGGCTGTGTTTGGAACCCCAATGGCAGGTGCTTCATAAGAGAGTGTTGGGTGGCTGAATGAAGGCCAGGGGAAGACAAGGCTTCCCGTGGGGGAGGCTGGGTGGACAGCCCCTGTCAGACCCTAAAGAGTGAGAGGGAGGGCGGGGTAGGCTCTGGATACCACCCCACAGGGAGTCACCCTGGGAGGGTGGAAGATGTGGTTTGAGAGAGAGACCCCGGAGAGGAAGGCTGGGTCGCAGGGCTCTGCGGACTGGGTGGGGCTGGGCTGCACGGGTGGCCGTGTGGGTTGCTCAGTGCACAAGGTGGCTGGGCAAGGTGGCAAGTGCGGCTGTGATATGAATCCTGTCCGGGGACCTGGTGGGGGGCAGCATCCACACAGAGGGGTGGACAAGAAGGCCACCAAGGCTGGCAATTGCCCTGTACGGCCCCCTAGGCCTGCATTTGAATCCCATCTACATGGCCTGGGATTTCCACAGCCTCCGTCCCCTCTTCTGCGAAATGGGAAAGCGAGCCCCGCGTTGCGGGCTCTGCTGGGGATGAAGTTAGAGGCACGTCAGGGAGAACGTTGATCGCAGGGGCCGGGCTCCAGCCGTTGGTCCTGCCTCAGCTTGGACCTCCTGGCAGGGCCTGCGGGACCGTGGGGGGACAGGTCCCAGCAGAGTGCTAAATGAGCAGGATCGTCCGGGGTTCTCTGGTCCCGTAAGGTCAGGGCCAAAGCTCAGCAGGCTGGCGAAGGCCGCCTCTGGGTATGGCGGCTGGCGGCTGGGTGGGGCCGCGCGCTGTGTACCATAGTGCAGGATGGCACTGCACTGGGGCGGGGGGCCTGGAGCTCAGTCCCCAAATCTATGGGCCTTCCGTAAATCTTTAAGCAAACCCAGGATACAGAAGTGTCCAAGCAAACTAACAACGAACTTTAGCCTCACCCAGAAGCCCTCTGGGTCCCCTCGACCCCAAAGTCTCTTATTTTACCCCAGAAAACCTGGCGCTGGGGCCCCGAGGGCTATGGGGCTATCCTGCTGGTGAATTGTGACAGGGATAGTCCCAAGTCCAAGGGACTTGACCTCGCTGACAGCAAGTTGACGACACTGGATGGTGAGTGACAGAAGGGACATGTGGTGCTGTCCAGGGTGATGGGGTGGGGCGGTGAAGGGCTGGGAGGGGGAGGGGAGCCTTTGGGTGGGGTGGGAGGAGGGTTGTCTCAAGGGTGCCACTCTCTTCAGACCTGAAGGACATGTCCCCAATGGTGCTGACCTGCGATGGCCCTGACAAGGTCTTTGACAGCCACAAGCTGGTCTTGAAAGTGCCGCTTTCTGATGCCAGAAGAGTGGGGGTCTTCTGCGCTCGGGGTAAGTGGCCTGGCGGGGCCCCCGCCTGCCCTGCTCCATCCTCCGCTTCCCACGCTCCTCCTTCTCCTCTCGTCCACACCGCTCCCTTCCTTCCGTTGCCTTTCGTAACTCTCACCACGGCTTGCAAATCAGCCAGTCCTTCCAGACACAACAAACTACCCAAGAAGGGGGTTTGCTAGCTAGCCCCCTCTTTCAGAGGGAGAAACAGAGTCTCAGATGCATGAATTCACTGTGATAAGATCACAGAATCATTTAGGGATGGAGCAGGCGTTCAAACCAGGTTTGCTGGGAGACAAAGCCCCTTCTTTTCCCATTGCGGTGCCCAACTCCTCCCCTCTCCCTCCTCTGGCCCCTGGGCACGCAAAGTGCCCTCGATGCCCAGACAAGCACTTTCTCGGCAGGGTGAGGCGGGGCGGGAACTAGCCAAGCTAAGGCCCAGGCCTGCCCTGAGAACTCTGCTCTACCAGAGATTTAATTAATCAAAGTCTGCAGCTTAAAAAAAAATACAAATCCTTAACCCTGAGGTGTCCTTACTCATTTTTATAAATCGCATGAGGCCTCTCCTGCCTTGTTCTTCTTCCTCTTCACCCATTTCTGCTCAAATGGACCTAGAATTTGTTGTTCTGGCCAAGTGAGCCTGGCAGGAAGCAGAAAGCTCCTTTGAAGGCATCTGTGGTGGCAGGCCAGGCAGGGACCCGGCCTGAAAACCCCGTGATAGCAGAGCAGAAGCAAAGGCTCAGCGAGTGAACTGGCACCCTTTCCTGCTGTGAACAGGCTGCGCCATGGTGGCACTTCCCAGCCCAGCCGTCCGTCAGGGGAAGGGAAAAGGAGGCGGGCAGAGCGACTATGTTTTTTTAAAGCTCAATTTTACTACTCATTTTTTAAAAATTGAGGTGAAATTCACATAACATAAGCTTAACTGTTTTAAAGTGAACAATTCAGTGACATTTAATACATTCTCAGTGTTGTTCAACCACCACCTCTCTCTAGTGCCAAGACATTTTCATCGGTCCCCAAAAGAAAACCCTGTACTCAGTACCAGCTCCTCCCTGTTCCCCTCACCCTGGCAGCCACTAGTCTGCTCTCTGTCTCCATGGATTTGCTTATTCTGCACAGCTCATATGAATGGAATCAAACAATATGTGACCTTCTGTGTCTGGCTTCTTTCACTTAGCATCATGTTTCAAGGTTCTTCCGTGTTGTAACATCTGTCAGTACTTCATTGCTTTCTGTGGATGAATAATAGTCCACTGTGTGATCATATTACAATTTGTTTATCCATTCATTTGCTGAGGGTCATTTGGATTGTTTTTACCTTTTGTACCAGCTGCTTTTATTTCCTTCTCTGGCTTAAAGCTTATGCTGGCCTCATGAGAAATATGTTAGCATATTTTATAGATGAGGAACTGAGGCTCAGAGAGGTTGAGTCACTGAGCCAAGGTCACACAGCCTGTGTACAGCAGAGCTGGAGAGGAGCCCAAGTAGACCTAACGCAGAGGCGGCTCTGCCCCTGGCTCCTCTCCTTCGGTCCTCGCAGCCCTACACCCCTGTCCCAGCACTGGCCCCCACTGCTGACTCTGGTTTTCTTAGGTGGGAATTCCCTCTCAAACTACAAGCAGGTGCTGGGCCCCCAGCATCTGTTCTATGAAGTAGAGCGGCAGCCAGGGGAGCGGGAGATCAGCTTCTACGTGGAGGGGCTCGCCTTCCCCGACACCAATTTCTCAGGGCTCGTCTCTCTCAGCGTCAGCCTGGTGGACAAGAGGGTATGTACAGCACTGGGGGCTAGGAGAGGGGCTGAGGGGCTTGGAGGAGCAGTGCGGAGGCCCCAGGAGTGGGCCTGCTGGGGGCAGGGGGATCTTGAGGTCTGATGGGGCTCCCTGCAGGGCCCACTGAGTCCTCGTTTCCCCCCAGACCCTGCTCGAGGTGACCATCTTCACGGACACCGTGGCCTTCCGCATGGCCCCCTGGATCATGACCCCCAACACCCAGCCCCCCCTGGAGCTGTTTGTGTGCAGGTGAGGCCTCGCCCCTCCTGCAGCCCTCCCCCCACCTCTGGAATCGTTACAATGGCACCAGGGTGCTGTTCCGGGGTTGGCTCCTTGCTCAGGCTGGATGGATGCATTGAGGGTGCCCAAGGACGCAAGCTGGGGACAGGGCAGCATCCCTGTCCTCTGGTGCTCAGGACAGCTTGCGCCTGTCAGCCCCATCTGGCCTGAGGAACAGAGGCCCCTGTCTAGGTCACCGACTCAATTTTCAGTGCCCCTGACCCTGCTCTGTCCTGCCTGCAGCAGCCCCACGACATTGTGGGTTCAGTCTAGGCAATGAGACCAGGCCTGGCTCAGGTTTCGGTGGCTGCAGAAGGCCGAGCCTTGCCCTGACATGGGTGTGCTTCTGGACCTGCAGAAAAACATGGGCACCCAGACCCCAGGGTCCACTGAGGGCCCTGGCCCATCCCAGGTCCCTGGTCCTTCTGCCATCTCTCAGAATCCCTGTCAGGCCCCTTGATGGCTAGGTGAGCCTCAACTGGCCAGGCCACTCCAGGCTCCTGCATCAGGGGTCAGACCAGGGGAAAGGGCCACGGCTGACTAGGAACATAAAGCAAAAGGCAGGAAAGGGCGAGGCCAGCCAGGTTTGCTGTGCTTCCCGGGGTCCAGGTGTGTCCAGGTGTTCGAGAGGGAATTTTTTCTTTCCCTTTGCTCACCACCCTTTGGCTCCTTTGTTCAGGTCAATTGTGTGGAACAGGAGTACATGGGCCACCTGCCCCCTCACTTCCACCTTGACCGGCGAGGTCCAGTCCTCTGGTCCCTTCCACTGTGGCCGCTTCTGCTGGCTTCAATGCCCTACCTCTGGGCTCCGCAGCCCTGGGCTTGCCCCTACCACCTGATGTGATCTGGGGACATTATCCATTTCTGTCATGGCCTGGGAGCCTCTCTAAGGCACAGGCTGTGCTTGAGCCCCTGCCTCCCGGGGCCGCACAGGGCCCGCACAGACTAGATCGAGGCTACCGCCTTCTGCCCCCACTTCCTGGCCCCGCGGTCACAGGCCGTTCTCACCCTCCCCTCTCCCTTCGTTTTGCAGCGTGGTAGACGCTCATGGCTCAAATGAGAAATTTCTGAGAGACTTGTCTGATCTGGTGTCGAAAGCCAACTGCAAGCTGATCATCTGCCCTTGGATCGAAAATCGAAATGACCGCTGGATCCAGGTGGGCGCTGGAGCAGAGGCTGGGAGAGAGGGGGCGCCCGGGAGGCCTGAGCCCCGTCCCTCTCCTGGCTGTGGGAAAGGGGGTCTGAACAGGTTCCTAACTGCCTCTGGGGAAGCCGGGCCACCTGGGCTCCAGGACGCAGGGTGGGGGCTGTCAGGTTAGGGGACGCTTCCCACTGCCTGCATCCTCCTAGTCTCTCCTGCTTCCCTCCAAACGCCCTGGTCCCAGGCAGAATACTTCCCTGCCGGGGGTCCCAAGAGGCCTCACCTCCACCTCAGTCCCCCACACCCCGCCAGGGGTGTCCAACCGTTTGGCATCTCTGGGCCACTTGGAAGAAGAGTCGGCTTCGGCTACACGTCAAACACACAAACACTAACAAAAACTGATGAGCAAAACAAAGGTTGTGGTAAATTTACAATTTTGTGTTGGGCCGCATTCATAGCCATCCCGGGCTGCCTGCGGCGCACGGGCCGCGGGTGGGATGCCCCCATGAGTCTAGATCTTGGGGAAAATCTGTTGCCCCCGCCCTGCCAAGGCCTGCAGGGTCACCTTGTTCTGAAAACCACTCTGAGGAGGTCACTGTGGTCTTTTCGTCTCCCTTCCCAGGACGAGATGGAATTTGGCTATGTGGACGCGCCTCACAAGTCCTTCCCAGTGGTCTTCGACTCCCCCCGAAACAGAGGCCTGAAGGATTTCCCCTACAAGAGGATCCTGGTATGTGGCAAAGGATGGAGTGGGAAAGCCCCGGTGGTTCCTCCTATAGGAACCCAATCAGTTTTGCCTGGTCCTGGTCGTTTGGGAGACAAAAGAACACACGTGGCAGGCTATGGCAAATGGGCATCAGTGGGAGGTTTGGACAAATATGCAAATAACATGCAAATTTCCCCATGTTCTGAGAGGGGCTGGCTAGCAAAGTCCTCCTTGGGGGCCTTTCTCCCCCAAAGGGGGAGCCAACGGAGGGGTCAGCCCTGGGGAAACCCAACTGCCTTTTGAGGGGAATGTATCCTTAGTGAGTCCACAGGGCTCTTGCTTTTATGAACTGGGGTCTCTCTTCTGGTAACAAAGCTTCTTTGAACACCTACTATGTGCCAGGTATGCACTGTTTCCTACACACAAGAGCAGTTCTAGCAACTGTCTAGCTGTGTACAGCTAGCTAGTGTCGGCACCAAGATACAAAACCAGAGAGGCTGCCTCCATAGCCGCTGTGCTCATCTGCTGGGCTAAACTAGGCTGGTCCTGAAGCTCAGTGTCCCTGCCTGTTCACCCGCCCCCACGCCCCTACTGCCCGGGTAACCCCAGCTAAGGGACAATGAGCCCTGCTGGTGGAGTCTGCGTCAAGGGCTTGACCTGGCTGCAGCATTTTTCATTGATTTCCGCTCTCGTCATTATTATTTCCTGTCTTCTACTTTCTTTGGCTTTAATTTGTCGGGTTTTTTGTTTATTTGTTTGTTTTTGCTAGCTGGAAACAGAGGCTAAAAGTTTTCCGCTTTTCTCTCCTAATATATGTGTTGAGAGCTAAGCAATTCCCTACAAGTATGGCTTCACTAGCACCATGCAAAGTTTAATATGCTGTATTTTCATTACCTCTCGGTTCAAAATATTGTCTAATTTCCACTTTGATTTTTGTCTGTGATCGATGGGTTCTCCAGAGGTGTGTTGCCCAATTTCCAGACACTTGGGGGTTCTCCTGTTATTGTTCTGTTATTGGGTGGATCTGTGAAAAGTGGACAGAGGTGGTTTTTCTGTCTCTTCCTGTTCTAACTGACCCTTCCTTCCGGGGGGCGGGGTCTTGCTGGTCCTCCCCTAGGGTCCTGACTTTGGATATGTAACCAAGGAAATCCCGTTTGCTGGCGCCTCTGGCCTTGACTCCTTCGGCAACCTGGACGTCAGCCCACCGGTGACAGTGGGTGGCAAGGAGTACCCCCTGGGCCGGATCCTCATTGGCAGCAGCTTCCCCAAGTGAGAGGCCAGGGCGGGAGGGTGGTGGAGGGCACAGGGCACTGACTGCAGTATTCGCCCTCCGACTCCCTCACAGTCTCCAGTCTGAGAAGTAGCTTAATGTCCCGCATGGAATCTTAGAATTGAAGGCTCAGAGTCCTAGACTCTTAGACTTGGAAGGTCATAGAATCTTAGGAGAAAGCTCACTAAGTGCTGTTCCTGGCCTTTGGGCTTGCCTAGTATTTTATGAGCTTAATCAAATATATATATTTATATATATATATATGTATATATATATATACACACACACACACACACTATATATATATACACTACACACACACACACACACACACACACACATATATTTATATATTAGGAGGCCCCACATAAAACACATCTCCAGCCTCTTTTGAAAAATCGGAAGAGCTGGGGAGGAGACACACGATCTGCTGCCGAGGTGGGAGAGAGGTCTGTTGCCCCTCTCACTATGAGATCAACACATCTGCTGTCCTAGCAAAGCTTGAAAGGGCCCAGAGGTTGGCATGGGCTGCGGGTGAGCGAGTGGCTGGGTAGGACACAAGGGAGGAGGGCCTTTTGTGCATCCAGACAGTCGTTCTGCTTTGGGGAGGAACCCAGGACGGAGCATAGGTCTTGGGAATCAGATGGCCCTGGGTTCGAGTCCAGGCTCTGCCACTTACCAGTGATGTGATTTTGGGTACATCGCCTAACCAGTGTTTACCACAGTGCCTAGCACATAGAAGGTGCTTGATTAATTCATTTAAAACTATTTAATGCATGCCTACTATGTGCTAGGCACTGCTGGTGGTACCTGGGATATATTAATGTACAAAGCAGATATATAATTAAATGAACAAATTATTTTATACCCCATGCCTCAGTTTCCTCAGCTGTAAAGCAAGCCTATTAAAAATCCTTGTCCTTACTGTATAACTGGCATTACCAGTGATAAAAGATTCCTATTAACCACTTCTGAATACTTAGGTATTGTCTAGCTGCCCTTCCTCCATCAGCAGTGGGTCTGCTTTGAAGGAGACTAGAACTCACTGGACAAATGTTATTGATCACTTACCTGCCACGAACATAACATTTTACCCAGGTTTCCTCATTTAATTCTCACAACACCCTCATGAAGTTGGGAGGATGGTTATCCCCATTTTACAGATGAGAAAGTTGAGGCTCAGGAGAATGAAGTGAATGTACTCACTCACACATTCATTTACCACTTTGATAGGTAGTCACTGAGACTCCCCACATGCCAGGTCTGGGGTCCAGTGCTCGGGATGAAAGGAATGTTCTGGATACTCGTGGGCTCAGAGCGAGGACCCAGCTAGGAAGGTGTGGGATCTCTAGGGCAGCTCTCTGCCCACTCCAGTTAACTCCAGTTAGTGGTACAGCCAGAACCCAGGTCTCCTCTTTGGGCTCCAAACTGAAATTTAACACCCAGGCTTCTGTCCTGCGTTCCTGTCTTGGCTTCTGGCCTCAGCAGTGAACCAAACAGACAATCTGCACACATTCGAGCAGGGAGGAATAGGCAATAGGCAAACATAATAAATAAGTAAACCATCTAGGAGGTTAGGTAAAGAAAGCCTTGGCGAGAAGTTGACATTGAAACAAAGCCCTGAGGGTAAATGAGGGGGTTACAGGGGTGGCCATTTTGGGGGAGAATGTGCAAGGGAGTGGAAACAGCCAGTGCAAAGGCCCCGAGGCAGGAGTGTTTTGGAAGCATTAGAGGGCAGCAAGGAGGCCTGTGAGGCTGGAGCAGAATGAGCAAGGAGGGCACTGGGGGATGATGTCCAAGAGCTTGGCAGGGCAGAGTTCAGATCATGACCGGAACCTGTTATTTGTGTGTATATCATAAGCTTATCATGAGAATTAAACGGGATAGTTAGTGTGAGGAGCCTCAGGCAGGCACACAGTGCTCTAAACAAATGCCCCATCCATCCTGTCTATCTTGGGTTCAGCACGCTGTGTGCTCACATTTAAAACAATCCTTGTGCAATTCTGCCCCCTGGTGGTGACTTTCATGTAACGCAGAGAGCAAGTCTGATGCCTCCCAGGGTTGCAGGCATCTGGTCCCGGCCCCTGCCTCAGAGCAGAGGGTTGCAGAGCACCTCCAGAAGGCACTCTGTTCCTCCTCAACCTTGCATGTTTCCGATTCCTACCACTTTCTGCTCCTAAATAATTTCTAAAGTCTAACTCTCCTCCACCATCTCACTGTGTTTTAAGAAGCCTTTAAAAATTACTGGCCCTGTATTAAAATAGGAGAAATACAAAAAAATGTGTTCCACTATCCCATCCCCTGAATCAAAGCAGCATTGTCACGTGTCTCTGCTTGTGGGGTCTTCCTTCTAGGCTTTGTCTATCACATATTCGAGTTATCTAGATAGACCCTGGCCTTTCACGCAGCTGTTCAAAGGAATTAATATCATTCACAGATATTTTCGAGCATCAATTATGTAAGAGATACTGAGTGGATGTAGACACAAATCCCAGACATTCGAGAGCTTGTCTCCTAGTGGGATGACAGGCAATAAACAAAATATCAAGTGTGCCACATAGTCCATATGGTATAAACAAAAATAAAGCTCATAAGGAGGTTGAGAGACTGTTGCAATTTCCAACGCCTCATAGTGGAATAAGGTGACATTTGAGTTAAACGTGAAAAAAGTGAGGGAACGAGCAGCGGGGACATACGCAACAATGCTTTGTTACAAGAACAGCATGTGCAAAGGCCCGGAGGCAGAAGTGTACCTGGTGTGTTTGAGGGACAGCAGGAAGCCAGCGTGGCTGGAACTGAGCAAGTGACGAGAAGAGGGGCAGGAGGGGGGTCCTCAGGATGGGTGGGGTCACACAGGTCCCTGTGAAAGCTGTGTTTACAGTTAGTGTGAGGGCAGTGAAGTGAGGGTTTTGTCCAGAGGAGGAAGGCAGTCTGACATATTTAAAAGCCTCCCTCTGTTTAGACTGCAGAGAAACCAGGGTGAAAACAGAGAGAATGTGGACGTGGACAAGCCACTGGCACTGTTTAGGTGAGGGAGGTGCCACTGGCCAGGTGGTGGCAGGGGAGAGCCTGGAAAAGGCTGGCCTGTGTTCTGTTTAAGGTAGACCCTCCAGACTGGAGGCTGGCTGGAGAGCTCATCCATAGGTCCTTAAGCCAACAAGTGAGGGCAAGGGATGTGATACCTATTTTGGAAAACATATTGAAAAAAATCTCCATATGTGTGTTTGCATGTGGCTTCATGTGCCAAGGAAAAGGGGAAAGGGCCCAAAGTATAGTATATCGTTCTGACTTGGGACAGGTCATCCCCTTGAACATTCTGGGCCTCAGCCGCCTCACCTGTGAAACAGGGACGTGGCGCTTGCCTGGGGCAGCCTCAGGGTCCCTGCTGCACAGATGCTTTCAGGCACTGTCTCCTTCCTCACAGCTCTGGGACTCCAGCTCCTGCTCCCCTGTCCCCTTCCCCTGTTCTAGGCCACCTTAGTGCTACCCTCCTCCCCTCTCACTGCTAATAAAGGGCAGTCTGAACATGCTCTGGCTCCATTTCAAGAACCACAGACTGAACGGGGCAGTGGTTCTCTTGCATATGAATCAGCTAAGGTGCTTGTCAAAATGCAGATTCTGCACCCTCCGATGCGCTGCATCCTCAAACACCCTCCCGCCCTGTGATGTGGAAGACATCGGGGCCCTGGATCTGACCCCCATGCCCTCAGGTCACCGTGGGGGTGACAGCCACCGTTTCCCTCCCTCAACAGGTCAGGTGGGCGGCGAATGGCCAAGGTGGTGCGGGACTTCCTGAAGGCACAGCAGGTGCAGGCGCCCGTGGAGCTCTACTCGGACTGGCTGTCCGTGGGCCACGTGGATGAGTTCCTGAGCTTTGTGCCCACCTCCGACCAAAAGGTACGCCTCTCGCCCTGCCTGAGCCACCTCTGCCCTCACTTGACCTGATGGGTAAAACAGGGCAAAGCTACTTGGAACCAACTCAGCACCTGTATCCACAGTGAGCTCAGAGTCAGGGCACCCTCGGGGCCAGAGGGGCATTAATCTTGGAGGGCTTCTTGGAGGAGGTCAGGGTTCGGGTCAGGAGGGCCCTCATTCATTCCTTCTCACGCCTACTGGGTGTTTCCTCTGATACACTCCTCCCGACCAAGACCCTGGTGAAACGACACTGATAATATTTAGTAACATTTACTGAGCACCTACCATGTATACGCTTTAATTCATTCAATCTGCGTGAGGTGGGTACTATTATCGTCACCCCCATGGTTTGTAGGTGAGGAAGGAAGCTGGGGCTCAGAAGGACAATGTACTGGTAGAGCTAAGAGTCAAACCAAGAGCTCTGGGCCAATATGTCAACCACTCGGCCCCACTGCCTTGCAGAGCTGGGCAGGGAGGGCACAGCCCCCAGGGTGCAAGCAGTCCGGGAGGGGAGGCTGTGCCCCAGGTGAACGAGGTGGGGAAGGGCCTCTGGGCAGGGAGGAGGCCACAGACCAAGGCCTGGAGGCATGAACCAGCGGGGAGGACTGGGGCATTGCTGGCAGCTCTTGGTGGCCGGTGGGCGAGAGCGAGGTAAAGAGGGGTGCCCTGTGCACAGTCTGGCCCCTGAAGGCTGGCCCCTCGGGAGTTCAGGGTCTCCTGCATCTCAGGACGCTGTGTGCACTGAGCTACTCTCCCTTCCTCCGTGCCAGGGCTTCCGGTTGCTCCTGGCGAGCCCCAGCGTTTGCCTGAGACTCTTCCAGGAGAAGAAGGAGGAGGGCCATGGGGAGGCAGCCCAGTTTGACGGTGAGTGCTGCTGACACAGGCCCCCTGTGGGGACAGTGCCCTCTCATTCCAGCCCTGGGTGCAGCTGATGCCTTTCCTGACTGGGCCCTGTTCACAGGCCCTTGGTCGGCAGACCCCTGAGCTCAGATCCCAAAGTCACAAATTCTCCTGACTCCCCAACGTGGGAGCTAAAGATGAGGGCTCTTCCTTTCTTGGGCCGGGGAGGGAAATCCGAGAGGACAGTGACCTGCCCCAGGCACATACAAGGGAGTAACCTCCTCCATCCAGTGGGCGGTTTCCGGCCGCACCCCAGGAGAGGAAAAGAACAGGAAGCAATGAGCACTCCCACGTGCCAGTCTGTGCCTGGCGCTTTCTTGTCCTCACCCCTTTGAATCTCCCACACCCATCTCCTCGAACCTCTTCACAAAAGGGAAAACTGAGACTCAGAGAGAAGTGGCTTTTCCAGGGCTAAGCGGAGGAGGGAGCAGCAGGGCTAGGGGCTCAGGGGAAGAGGGGCCAGAAGCCAGGTGGGTGGTCAGGGCCCCGCTGTGGACCTTCCTTTGGGAGTTGACAGATGCTAGAAGGGCCTGGTTGGCCTTGAGCACCTTCCCCCTCCCTACCACAGACCTCAGTGCTCTCACCTGAGGAAGGAGCATTGGAAGGGATGTAGGGTAGCCCGTGGCCAGGATAGACCTGGGTTCAAATCCTGGTCTTGCCATTTGCTGGTTCTGACATTACAGATGTGATCTGAACTTCTCGGTGCCTCAGTGTCCTCTTCTTTGAATTGGGGGTGATATTTAGCCCTACCTGGCATTGTTTGAAAGGTTAACAATACATTTAGTGGGGAGCCCAGAGTATGGTGCGTGTTCGATAATGGTAGCTGTACTAAAAATATTAAGTCCCATGCCCAGGAGTCCCTTCCCAGGGGGTCTGTAATCCATCCCCAGGATTTACTTGTAGACAGAGCCTGGTCCTATCAGGGTTTCCTGTCTCTGGCTGTCTCCATCCTTGCTTCAGACCCTGGCACTGAGGTGGGGGGAAATCCCGGGCTGGATTCTGCAGCCCAGGCCCGAAGTGGCCCCAGGCAGTACTCCCTGGGCCATGTACCGTCTGTCTCTTTCTATACACAGGGTTAAAGAACCAGGCGAAGAGAAGCATCAATGAAATGCTGGCAGACAGACGCCTCCGGAGAGACAGTCTCCATGTACAGGTGAGGTGCAGGCCTGCTGCCTGCTCTTGGGGGTCCCCCACCCTCCAGGGAGAACAGCTGGGAGAACAGCTGGGGCGGGGGCAAGGGCATCAGCCTGAGCCTCGGACTGTGCTGGGGGCTGCTGGGACCTGTGGGAGGGTAGGGCCTCTGCCCTTGGGAGCCTCCGTGTGATGGAGGAGACATGGCCATGCCAGTCGGAGGGGGTTCTTGCCCTGATTCAGGGAAGGGGTGGGTTTCCATGGAAGCAAAGCTGAGTGTTCACTGGGGAAGTCCCGTGAGTTGAGAGAGATGTGGCGGAGAAATAGGGCCCTGCGGGGGTCGGGGGCCAGGGCTGGGGTGGGTGGGAGTCAAGGAGATCTAGTGAAGAGACTGGGTGGACTGGGGTCTCAGGAAGGGGCAAGGCCAGGGCCTGTCACATGCCTGGTGCAGGGTGGCTCCCTGCTCAGTGAAAGGAAGGAAGCCCCATGCTTCTCCCCCACTTTCTCCTAAACTGCCGAGACGGGCTGGAGCCAGGCCACATTGTGGCCGGGACGGCGTGGTGTCGTAGCAAGGATTCTTGGAACCAGAAATTGCCGGGTCCAAGCCCCACCTCCAACACCTCTTAGCTCTGTGCCCTTGGGCAGGTCACTTGAGCCTCGGTTTCCTTATCTGGGGGTAGCAATGACACAAAGATCGAAGGAGCTAAAGGGCGCGGAGGCTGCGCACAGTAGGCACGCAGCAAGCCTCGGTCCTCACTCGCTGCCCCCAGAAATGCATCGACTGGAACCGGGAGGTGCTGAAGCGGGAGCTGGGCCTGACGGAGCAGGACATCGTGGACATCCCGCAGCTCTTCTACCTGCAGGGCCCCTACGCAGAAGCCTTCTTCCCCGACATGGTGAGCGCAGTGGATGGCGTTCTTTCCAGTTCCTGGGCCCCTGCAGGGTCCTGGCGGGGACATGGTTGGGCATCCAGAGAAGAAGCGCCCCGTACAAGGGCAGAGGCAGAGAGGCTAGGGCGGTCTGTGCACCTCTCCGGTGTTTCCGCGCTTTCTGTGCAAACATAGACCGTCTCCGTCGGCGGTTCTCAACCCCGGGCCATTTGTCCCCCAGGGAGTTTGCATTGCCTCCACGAGGGGAGTGCTCCCAGCATGCGGTGGGTGGGACGCAAGGATGCTGCTGAACAGCTGCAGCGCAGGCACCGGCAGCCGGGGCAACTAAGGGCATTGTTTTCTCCCAAGTGGGAAAGGGAGTGTGGTTCGTTCCAAATGTTTCAGGCCTCCATTTCCAAGCCTCAGTTGCCTGCTGTGCTCCCCAGGGGGGTTCCTGAGTCAGGCAGGTGGGGCAGGCGGTGGCCACCTCTCTGGCTGTCATTAACTTGGGCAGCTGACAAGCAGATAAGCAGATTGTGAGCTCACAGGCGTGGTCCCTGGGAGGGGCCTCAGCGATGCTCCTGGCCAAAGTGCCCATTATTCCCTTGGCAAAGGATGTAGGGCTCCCTGTCCCCTACCCAACAGATGCCAGTAGCACCCACCTTGTTATGACAGCCAGGGGCAAAATTGTCCTTGGCTGAGGACCACTCTTCTGCGGCAGTGCTGTTGGAACTTTCTGGGATGACAGAAATGTTCTGTGTTTGCACAATATGACATGGGAGCCACTGAGCCTCATGTGGCCACTGAACACTTGCAATGTGGCTGGTGTGGCCAACCAACAGAATTTTTACTTTTCTTTAGTTTTAACAGTCACATGTGGCTAGCGGCTACCATACCGGACAGTGAAGTTCTAAGGGGTGACCAGCCCTGGTTCTGGCCGAGGGTTGCTGGCAAGGCCTGGGTGTGAACCCATGACCTTGGTCAACCTTCCTTTGGCCGTGGCCTTGCTCACACCTGCCAGAAGCCTGCTCCTCAACCTGCATCCTCCTGTGGGAACCTCCCAATTTCAGTCCAGGCCTGCTAAAGAATTCCAGCCTGTCCATGCTGGGAGGGCCCTTAGGGGACACTCAGTTAGCCTCCCCCCCGCATCTGTCAGGTGGAGGAGCTGAGGCGCTTAGGGAGAGCAGCGGGCTTGCCTGCGGTCCTCAGCAAACGAGTGGGCCAGGCTCCCATCTCCTGAGCGCTCATTCAAGAGGAAGCCCCCCTGGGCTGGCTCTGGTCCTGAATCTGGCTCCTGGCTCTTCCCCCTACCCTCAGCCTCCCTGTCGCCCCATTGGGCCCCAGCATGATCTGGTCCATGGGTGAGCAACCAGGTAGCTCTGGGCCAAGGCCATGGGACTGACTGCACAGACCGCCCAGCTTCATGCCGGTGCCAGCCTAGATGGCTGTGCGGGGCCGGCTTGAGGGTGGGGGGCTAGGGCTTGGAGAGTGTGACGTCACAGAGTCCCGGGCAGCCCAGCCCATGCTGAGATGACCCAGCACTACCCTCCAGCCAGCAGGCCCAGGATGTCCCCTCTTTAAACACCAAGGACAGCTCCTCTGGCCATCAGTCTGGGGCTGAATGTTTCTCTGAGAAACCTCCACACTCTACACTGGGGAGACCTCCCTTCACCAACATTAGGGCCCCCAGAGAAGAAAGCAGAGATGCTGCTGGAAATACACCCAGGTGCCCCCAAGGTCCCTAACCCCTTGCCCCAGCCCCTGAGCCCCAGACTGCCAAAGGGCCCTATCCTGGCAGAGGATACAGGGCACGAGTTTCAATACGAGTCAGACCCAAACCAGGTTTTAGTCCCTCCTTCCTCTGACTATGCGGCCTTGATCGTGTTACCCAGCTTGTCCAAATCACAGCCTCGGAGGAGGGCTGCGAGGGGCAACGATGATATGTCTGGCACATAGTAGTTGCTCAATAAACAGTGATAATTAGTAGGGCTTCCAGGGACAGTTGAGCTAGCCAAGTGTCCACCCCAACGAGGACATTCACACTGTAGACCTTGTAGATGTGTACAGGTTTCTGAGAGATGATGGTAAAACCTTGTTCTAACCAGGTTGTTAGGACAACTTTCTGATAGATGAAAGAAAGCGTTAGAGGAAAGGGTGTCTTTAATTCATATAAATTTTCCATGTATGTTACGGACAGCCCTGCCATTGCTAATCGTCTCTTCCAACCATGAATCTATTTCTTCTTTGCTTTCATAGGCCTTTGGTCTTGAGTGAGCCCAGCCCTGGGGACCCGGGGATGCGGGCCAGGAAGGGACAGGCCCTGGGGGTGGCCTGCCCGAGCCACAGATCAGAAGGCACCCCTGTGTATAGAGTGTCCCCAGCCAGCTGGGCCTCCCTCTTGCCTTCTCTCTCCTTCAGGTCAACATGGTGGTGCTGGGCCAGCACCTGGGCATCCCCAAGCCCTTCGGACCCCTCATCAACGGCCGCTGCTGCCTGGAGGAGAAGGTGCGCTCCCTGCTGGAGCCGCTGGGCCTCCACTGCACCTTCATCGACGACTTCCTGTCCTACCACAAGCTGCTCGGGGAGATCCACTGTGGGACCAACGTGCGCAGGCAGCCCTTCCCCTTCAAGTGGTGGCACATGGTGCCCTGAGCCTGTCCACCCCGGCGTCCTCTCTGCTCACCTGTCGGGAACCCTGCCAGAGTGAGAGTGAGGAAGCTCTGCCTGGCCTCCGTCCTCTTGGGGGAGCCTTGGGCACATCCCCTCTAGTGCCTGCAAATGTGCTGGCCACTGTGGGCACCGGGACACACAGGGATGAACACCACACAGCCTCACCTCTTGAGCGGCCTGCTTGGCCCAAGAAGGTCCAGCCTCATTCTTCCCCCTCCTCCTCTCCACCCACAACTCCCAGAAGTTCTGCAGAAGATCAGCAGCTCCAGCGTGTTCAGGGATGGCGCTGCATGGCCTCTTGGAATCGCTACCCCCCCGTCCTGGCAGGTCCTTTGTGTTTGCACCAGGAATGGGGCCTGCGGAGCCTGGGCACTGGTGTGAGGGCCCTGGGGCTGGGCCACCGTGGCTCGTGTAAGACTGGGAGGGGGCCCTAAGGCACCTTCTTGGCTGGCACCTCCCAGCACCCTCAGCCATGTTTACATAAACAAATAAGGATGGGGAAACCCAGCTTCAGAGGGACTGCTTTAAAAAGAAAAAAAAGCAACAGAAACCCTTGAACATCTGACTCTGTCCTCAGAAGGGTGCTCGTTATGTGTTTGGAAAGCCTTTAATTAGGAGTGCTGACTACTTCCGGCTCAAAAGGGCTACAGAGCCAAAGAGGGGTTGGGTAGGGCACCAAAGGAAGTGGGGCTGGGCAGGTGCGGGGCCGCCAGGATGGCAGAGGAGGCCGAACGATGCACAAGGACGGGGCCTGGGGCCTGGCCCCTGCGTCTCAGAGCGCGTGGGCCTTGGATTCTGGACTCCGGATGAGAAAGCAGCTGGCTGTCCCAGATGTAGCTGGGAGTCGGGGCCCAGATGTTAGAGGAGGGTGGAGGGCCATTAGGTTATCTCTGCAGGTGAGGTTTAATTTCCTTTAATAGTCTCTAATTATTACCCTTCCTTCTGCAGGCAGTGGGAGGGAAGGCTCACCTGGTCTCTCCCGGCAACCCCGGGACCCGGAGTACAGTTTGGGTTTCGCCTGTGAGCAAACCCCCGTGACAGCTCTGTGTCCCCTCCCACAGAAGGGAAGATAGAGCTGCCACAGGGGTTAGTAGTGCCATCCGGGGGGAGGTCACCGGGACAGGCGCGGGCAGGCCGGCTTGGCCAGTGCAAGGTGAGAGGTGGCCCTTGCTCCAGACGGGCACGGGCAGCAGGGGACAGACCTCTTTCTCCTGCTGCCTGTGGCCCCATCTCAGAGGCCCCTGGCCCCTGGGCCTTCACCTTCCTGGTTTTTAGTGGCCCCTGGTGCGACCCCGTGGAACCAGCTGCTGTTAACACTCTATTGGCCTTGGAACACTTAGTAGTCAGACGCTTACATGGAAACCCAGCATAGGAAACCGATGAAAATGGACCTGCCCTGGTTTAAGGCGTTGAGGGCAGTGTACCTGAATCCCCCAGAAGTCTCTGTGGGACCCCATTTGCCAGCCCCTGGCCTAACCTGCTCACTCTCTGATCATAATCAGGAGGAAGCGCAGACTGAGCCAAAAAGAGGAGGGAGATCTTCAGGGGCCGAGGGTGTGCGGCTGGGGCCGGGTGCCCCAGGGACAGGGCGGGGGGGGGGGTGGGCAAGTCTTCTCAAGTGGCACTGAGTGTGGGAAGTGCTGGAATTGCTGCTGGGGCTGTTGGGAGATGCTGATGTCCCCTCTGAAAATGTCCTGGGTGACTGGTCACCTCCTTTCCAATGAATATAAATGTCAACATGCATTTCTTCAAATAGCTGCCTCCTTAGCTTCTGTTTGTTGGGCCGTGGGGAGGAGGGGAGAAAGCATTGCCCACCATACCACCAGGTCTTGGCTCGACTTCTGCTGGCCATGAGCAGCTCCTGCCTGGCTGGGAGAGCCCCCAAGAGCAGTGCCAGGCGGGCGGCTGACTCACCAGCATGACTGGCACATGCCCAGTGCCCTGGAGCGGCCACCCTGCTGAGGTGGCTGTCGGGAGAGGGTGGACCCTGCCTCTACCTTTCTTCTCCCTTCCTGGGCTATCTCCTCCAACTCTCAGAGCACAGGTTGACTGGGCCCTAAAGGCAGAGGTAGGAGAGTCCCCAGCAGGGACTGGTACCCAGGGTCACATGTCACTGTGATTCCCTTTCATTTCTGCCTCTAAAGCCACTGAATTACTCAGGGGTCTGATTTCAGGGGTCTGAAATGATCTCCCCTTGCATCCTACACACTGGCTGCTGGCTCAGATGGCACCCTTTGACTTCCACTCACTCATTCACTCATTATAGCTTTTGCTGTAAACTAAGAGGCAAAAACTTTTCGCCATCAGTCATTGACACTTTAGTCTAAATGAACCATAGGTCTGTTTCTAAAAGCCGGTATCAGTTGGGAAGAGGTAAAGTCACCAGAGTGCTACCAAGGGGAGATTTGGGGCTCTGAGCATGAGGCTGGTCCTGTCCCCAGCACAGGGGGCCAGGTCCCTGGGGAAGGACCCCAGTGTCTGTACCTATTTCCCAACTGTGCTCCCAAGGGGGCTGGGGAGACTGTCTAGGGCTACCTCCTGAGCTCCAACTCTTATCCAGAGCTGAATCAGCCACCAAGACATTTTACAGCCAAATAAATAAATAAGTGAAACTATCCCTGGACCCAGCTGTCCAGTTGAAAAGAACTCCCCCCCACCCCCTGAAAGCGGGATATAGGAGCACCAGTCTTAGAGTCCTGCTGAGGTCCTCGAATTCAGCAAGTGCTTTAGCTGGGGACCCAGCAGCAGATCCTGGTGCCCACCCCACCTCAAACTGTCAGCACCACCAGGGAGAAGGGAGGAGTCCCCCCCTTCAGTACCTTCTAAGCCTCTGGGCAGGGCATGTCCCTGCCATTACTTCTGCCAGGGCAGGTGCTTAGCCACATTTTCTACAGATGAGGAAACCAAGACCCTGAGAGACGGGGCAGAACCCCCAAGGCCACATGCCTTTCGTAGTGGAGTCTGGATCTGAACCCGAGACCCCCCTGCCCAGAGCCCTTGCTGCTGCTGTTCCAGGAGCCTAAATGCCCCCTCTGACCTCAGTTTCCCCACCTGAAAAGCTAGTCTTCCTACTCTAATCTTCTAAGCTCCCACAGTTGGAGAGTGTTTTCACTCTCATTTCTTATTTTTTCCAAAGACTGTTGCATCTAATAATAACAACAACAACACCCAGAATAAAATAATGCCAAGCTCTGTAGAGCTCTACCCACGGTGTCTCATTTAAGCTGCACAACAACCCTTTATCAGATGTGAAAAGTGAGGCACAAAGCAGTTAAGTGACTTGCCCCAGGCCACTTAGCCAGGATGTGGCAGAGGCAGAACTGACATTCAGTCCCGCCTGTAAAAATCCATGCTCTCAGGAATAACACTGGTGTTTCTCAAAGCACATCAAAATCCTTTGGGGTGCTTGTCATAAAAATCCAGGTGCCAGGCTGTATCCCTAACCTGCTGCATCCAGCTGGAGGCTTGGCCCAGGAACCTACTTTTCACCATCTCCCCCACCATGGTAGAGAAGCTCGCCACTAAAGCATATTGTCTCTGAAAATGCAGGAAAGGGGGATGAGGAGAATGAATGTGGGAAGTGAGGAAGGGACCCAGATCAATTCTGCACATCTCTGTACCCTGCTCCAACGTCCTGGTTCCCTGGCTAGGTAACCTGTATTGACTTGCTCCCCTTTAAAGCCAGAATTAACCACCTCAGTGCTGGAGTGAGAACAACAGGTTTATATGCAAATGTCAGGTTTCTTCCAGCCAATCCTGAACTCCTGGCTCTGGGAAGGGGCTTGGTTTCCAGAACTCCAGCCAATCAGCTAGCACTGAAGGGGCGGGGCCAGAGTCTTTTAAACCACATGCCAAAGGGCCTGTATGTAGGCAGTGTTGAGTTTTGTGGCCCCAGCCCAGTCCAAGGCCAGCATGTCCCTGCAGAGGATCGTGCGTGTGTCCCTGGAGCATCCCACCAGTGCCGTGTGCGTGGCCGGCGTGGAGACGCTTGTGGACATTTATGGGTAAGAGTCAGAGCCCTAAGGGGCAGACCACCCTGGGCTCTCCCTATGAGCTGGGTAGGGTTTCCTCAGGGCTTGGGCCTGGTTTGGCTGCCTTCTCCTGAGCCTTGGCTTTGGAACACCAGCCAATTACAGAAGCTTGGGTCCTCGCCTTTTGCAGTTGGGTTTCTTAAAGACTCTAGCCAGGGGACTTGAGGTGTGGGAGACCGAAGGCAGCGTAGAGAAGCTTGTAATGGCTGAGCTCCGGCAGGGCCTTGGCAGGTGCCGGGACCACAGGACCTGAGCACGTGTCTCTGTCCAGAGGACCGTGAAGCCTGGGCTGAGAGTCTGGCTGAGCACACAAGGACAGGAAGAAACACACCGCCCCCCCCCGCCATGCTCCACCCCCAGCCTCCGAGCCTGAAAACAACATCGATCGTTACAAAAAATAATCGCTTATACTTAGATAACACTTAGTGCTAGGCTCTAAGAGCATAACGATCCTCTTGAATTTAACTCCTGAACTTTAATTCTTGAATTTAACTTTCATAACAACCTTATGAGCTAAGTTTATTATTAGCTTCGCTTTGTTCGAATGATAAGGACACCGAGGCCAGAGAGGGCAAGCCGTTTGGTCAGGGCACGCAGTTACTAAGTGGCCAAGCCAGGACTTAAACCCATTCACGGTCAGGAGTCATATGGATGTAGCTGCCTGCGACTCAAGGAGGAGGGACCTGGTGTCCTCCAGCTGTTCAGTGCCCAAGCATGATGTCCCCACAGTGTGCCCTTGTCCTGAAGGCCAGTGGCTGGAGATGAGACCCACCTTCTCCCTCTCCCAGGAAGAAAAAGCAAGTTTGGGCAGGGTCTCAGCAGCTGGGCTCTGGGAACCACCAGAAGCTGGCTACCTTGCCTATAGGGGAGTTTTCAGGGGCCCCAGCTCCCGAGGCTGAGCTGGGGACACGGGTGACCAGGAACTGGGAGGGGAGAAGGCAGGGCAGTGTCACTGCTGCCATCCTTCCAGACC